TACCAAGAGTCAGTGGCTTAACCTTAATACACAGCTACCCAGGTGCCCATTTAGTATTATTTTTAAATACAAATTTTTTAAAATTTATGTACAGTAATTTTTTTGACATACAGTTCTAAATTTTTAACAGATATATGGATTTATGTAACAACCACCACAGGTTGCCAAACATTTACAATACCCTGAATGATTCCTCGTGCTGCTTTCTTGTCAACCACCCTGGAAACCACTGATATATTTCTCCATTGTTAGTTTTTCCTTTTCCATAGGATCATATAAACGGAATCCTACAGTATGTAACCTTTTGAGACCAACTTATTTCACTCAGTATAATGCCTATGAAATTCATCCATGTTCTTTACAGATGTGCCACAGCTTTGCTTACCCATCCATCCGTTCAAGGATATTTAGGGTATTTCCATTTTGGGGTGATTATTAATAAATCTGCTACAGACATTTGTGTATAAGTTTCAGTGTGAATTTCTGTATGGTAAATATGTAGGAGTGGGATTTCTGAATCATACGGGTGTGTGTAAATTTATAAGAAGCTGCCAAAATGTTTTTCCAGAGTGGTTGTAACATTTTGTGTCCCCACCAGGAAAGTATGAGAGTTCCAATGGCTTTACACTCTTGTCAGCATTTAGTATTATCAGTTTTGTTTATTTTAGTCATTCCAATAGGTATGTAATAATACCTCATTATGACTTTAATTTTCATTTCCCTAATGTATAATGATGTTGAGCATCATTTCATGTGCTTATTTGTCATCCTTATATCTTCTCTGGTAAATGGTCTACTCAAATTTTCGCCTGTTTTAAAAAAAAAATTGCATTGTTTCTTATTGTTATGCTCTCAAAGTCCCTGGTCACAAGTCCTTTAATAAATACATAACTTGCAAATATTTTTCCTAGTATCTTCACTGTTTTCTTTGGCAAAGCAAATACATGCTTTTTTAATTTTGAAATCCATTTATCAATTCTTTGTACTTTTTGTTCTTGGTGCCAACCCACAGTCATGGAGATTTTCTCTTATGTGTTTTTCTATATTTTTTTATAATTTTATATTTTACATTTAAAAATATCCATTTTTGAGTTGCATTTTGTGGAAGTTGTGAATCATAGGTTGAAGTTCAGTTTTCCCCATACGGCTTTCCAATATTTTCCACCACCATTTGTTAAAAATAACATCCTTTCTTGGGGCGCCTGGGTGGCGCAGTCGGTTGAGCGTCCAACTTCAGCCAGGTCACAATCTCGCGGTCCGTGAGTTCGAGCCCCGCGTCAGGCTCTGGGCTGATGGCTCAGAGCCTGGAGCCTGTTTCCGATTCTGTGTCTCCCTCTCTCTCTGCCCCTCCCCCGTTCATGCTCTGTCTCTCTCTGTCCCAAAAATAAATAAATGTTGAAAAAAAAAAAAAAAAAACATCCTTTCTTGACTGAATTCACTGTCCCTTGCAACTGTGCTCAATTTACTTATTAGTTGTAGGAACTTTTTATTTTTGTAGATTTCTTGGGATACTCTACATAGACAATTATGTCAATGAGAATAATAATAGTTTTAATTTTTCCTTTGCAATCTATATGAATTACATTTAATTTTTCTTGCTTTATTGCACAGGCTAGGACTTTCAGCATGATGTTGAATATGTGTGTTAAGGATAAACATCCTTTTCTCTTTCCTGCTCTTATGGGGAAAGCATTCAGTATCTCATCATGAAATATAATGTTAACTGTAGGTCTTTTGTAGATGTCCTTTGTTGGAAGTTCCCTTTCATTTCTAGTGAGTTGAGAGTTTTGTGCTTTAGTTTTCATTCTATCACTAGCTAGCTGTGTGAATTTGGGCAAACTTTAGTCCAGATTACCACATCAGAAAAAAGGAAATAAATGTTTTGCCTTTTTGTGACGATTAAAAGATAGAGATGTGTGTGTATGTGTAAATGTATGAGTAAGAAGGCCCTCACCACACAGCATGAAAGAAAAGTATCATGCATTTCATTAGGATATACAAAATACAACATCTCTAGGTTAATGCAGTCTTGTTATATACATTTTCTAAGTAAATATGGGTTAGAGGCAATCAGAATATTAACTACTGAAAAACTGATTTTGGAAACCTAAAAAATATAACAGGATTAATATATACCATATTTAACCTAAGTGTGGCACATAACATTTATTCCTGTTGTACTTGCTTGTTTTCTTCAATTCTTGACAATAGGCCAGAAACTATTATGTTTTTTTGCATTTTTAATCTCATAAAATTTTGTGGCAGTCCTGCACCATAGGCCTTATCCAAATTTGGATCAGAATTGTTAAACTTTTGGAAAGTAGGTTTAAACTTAATGTGAGAAATTACCTTAAATAGACAAACAAACAAACAAACGTGGGCGCTGTCCAGGAGTAGAAAAGGATGTTTCTAATTAAGCCTAAATCTGGGAACCTGAGGATACACTGTCAGAAGTTTTCAGGGATGGTATTCCTACATAGACAGGAGGTTAGATGGTCATACAAAGTTTTTCCAACTCTAAAATACTACAACCAGCACAGATCACATCTAAGGCATAAAAATGTTGACATGGAGGGACACCTGGGTGGCTCAGTTGGTTAAGGGTCCAACTCTTGATTTTCGGCTCAGGTCATGATCTCATGGTTTGTGAGTTCAAGCCCAATGTTGGGCTCAGTGCTAACAAAGTGCAGCCTGCTTAGGAGTCTGTATCTCTCTCTCTCTCTCTCTCTCTCTCTCTCCTTTGTTTTTAATTTTTTTTTAACGTTTATTCATTTTTTGACAGAGAGACAGAGTGCCAATGGGGGAGGGGCAGAGAGGGGGGAGACAGAATCCGAAGCAGGCTCCTGGCTCCGAACCGACAGCACAGAGTCCGACGTGGGGCTCAAACCCACGGACCGTGAGATCATGACCTGAGCTAAAGTCGGACGCTCAACCGACTGAGCCACCCAGACACCCCATCTCTCTCTCTCTCCTTTCTGCTTCTATCCCAGTGGCTGACTCATTCTTTCTCTCTTTCTCTCAAAACAAATAAATAAACATTAAAAAAAAAAGTTGATATGGGAAGCAAAGCCAAGATAGGAACTGTACCAAAAACTGGCCTCTAGATCATCTGTGGCTACTGTCTGCTCTTGTCCTGCTGCCCTATTCCTCCTTCACACCCCTACATCTCATTCTTCCCCCAGTTTCTATCTCAGCAATAAGAGTCAGATAATATCATTTTGAATCCATTACTCTTATGATCAGTGCATTTGAATGTGTGGCATTATTTTCTTAAATCTTAAATAGCTTTTCTGTTAAAAAAATACTTTTTTTGTTTAAAGAGTATGTGAACCATCCCTCATCCTTGCCTGCTTCAGAGACTTACATTTATTCAAGGACCAAATGCAACCAAATTACAAGGAAAGGAAAAGGAAAAGGAAAAGGAAAAGGAAAAGGAAAAG